ATTTCAGTTGCCAATACTCATCTTATGGTTACAAGGTCCAAGACGGGTATTTTCAAGCCTAAAGCTTATTTTGCAACAAAGAATCCATTATCTGATTCTACTGATTATGTTCCTACTACTTATTTACAAGCTGCAAAATATGAACATTGGAGATTAGTCATGCAAGAGGAGTTCAATGCTCTTCAACTTACATGCACTTGGTCTTTGGTACCTTATTCTTCCTCTCAAAATGTGGTTGGGTGTAAATAGGTATTTCGAATCACAAGAAAGCCTGATGGCACAGTGGATAGATATAAAGGTTGTTTAGTAGCTAAGGGATTTCACCAACAAAAAGGTATTGATTATCAAGAGACTTTCAGCCCTGTTGCAAAGCCAGTCACAATTTAAATTCTATTGTCCTTAGTTATTCAATTTGATTGGTTTCTCAATCAATTAGATGTTAGTAACGTTTTTCTTCATGGAGACTTAAAGGAAGATGTCTTTATGCACCAGCCTTCTAGCTTTGTTGATTCAACCTTACCCAATCATGTCTGCAAGTTGAGAAAGCCATTGTATGGCTTAAAACAAGCCCCAAGGGCTTGGTTTGACAAATTGTTTCAAGCCTTGCATAGTTTTGGATTTCAGCAACCAACCTCAGATGCTTTTTTTTTTCTTTTTTTTAAGCACAAGTTCTTGTAATAGTATTGGTTTATGTGGATGATATTTTAGTCACAGGACTAGATACAAATCTCTATCAAAAATTCATCACTCAATTTAGTCAAGTGTTTCCAATTAAGGATTTGGGTCTATTTCACTACTTTTTGGCTTTAGAAGTTCAAAGATCATCTGCTGGCCTCTTCTTACATCAAAGCAAGTACTTACTCGATCTTCTTGGCAAAACAAACATAAAAGGTACTAAACCTTGCTCTACTCCTCTTAGTATCACTAAGCTTGATCACAATGGTCATTTTCTTTCTAAACCTACTGAATATCGATCAATTGGTCTTCAGTATCTTACTTGGACAAGACCTGATCTCTCTTTTGCTATTATTTAAGTGTGCCAATTCATGCATTCTCCAAGAAAACAACATATGCAAGCAACAAAGAGAATTCTCAAATTTCTTAAAGGGATTCTTACTCATGGTTTATGGTTTAAAAATGGATCCTTACATCTCTCTGCATACTCAAATGTAAATTCAGCAGGCAACACATTTGATAGGTGATCCACCAGTGGCTATTGTGTTTTTCTGGGTCCAAATCTCATTAGTTGGAATACCAAAAAGCAATCCATTGTTGCTCAATCATCCACAGAGGCTGAGTATAGATCTTTGGCTCACATAGTTACTGAAATCACATGGATCTGCAAAGTATTTTGTGATATTGGTTTTCCTTTATCTATGGTGTGATAACATCTCAGCAATTTCACTTGCTTCCAACCCTGTTTTTCATGCCAGGACCAATCATGTTGAGATTGATGACCATTACATCTGGGAACTTGTCCTGGCTAATCTTGTCAAAGTTCTCTTTGTCTGCAATCAAGATCAAGTAGCTGACATTTATACAAAATCCATCTCTAAACATAGATTTAGTTTTCTTCAGTCCAAGGTTCCTCTTGGCACATTTCCTGCATCCAAGCTTAGCTTGAACGGGTGTAATAACCCAAATATTACTTGTACTTCTATAAAATAGTTTGTTACAGTTGTAACAAACTATCTTTGTTAGTTAGGGACTTGATTGTAATTAACTAAGTTAGCTAAGGGTAGAGAGTTCATCAGATTTGTATCCGTATATATATACCAACATGCACATTGAAATTATTCATTAAAATGAAATCAAGATATTTTCTTACATTTTTGTTTTCTTACAAGCTAAGTTTTCTATACCTACTTCTAACAACACCGATATTGTCCCCAACTTGGTAATTACCACTTGCTCAATCCATCATATGTGGAGTTTTATCACAAAAACCCTCGGGGTTAGTTGGAGTGGAGTTAGAATATTTAAACTATTATTTCTCTTTTTGTATAGCCAATGTGGAACTTAACATAAGGTTTACTTATTTTAAGATTCACAAAATAATACAGGAAAGTTTGCTTCGATCTTTTAAACAATCCAGAAATGACTAATTGAAGAATAGTTGCATTTAGGTTATAGATGATTTGAAAGATAAGATGGTGCAGCTACTGCGGATGAATGTCATGCAGCTTAGTCCATAAAACAAAGTGTGAAGACCACTGCTTTTATCACACACATAAAAGTGGCGACTGTTCATCCAAAATGGTTAATGGATGGTTCGATGGCTAGTGGTCACAAATGTAATGCTTAACAAAGTTTTATGAAAGTTCACAAGACATATGTCTGGGGTCATCCATGGAAGTAAGCCTTAAGCAGTGCTAACTTTAGAGTTTTTCCTAATAAAGGAATGGAACTCCCTGATTGCATTTTCAACCAATTGAATAACAGGAATCTTTGGTGGTTTGGCACCATCAACATGTCGATAATCTCCACATTGACTCGTCTCAAGGTTCCCATTCTTACCAAGGCATATCATCTCCAAATTCAGCTTTGCTCCATTGCGGTAACCAGGTTGGTAGAAACCTCCAAGACCCAAACCCAAGTCTCGGCATAGCTTGACTATTTTGATCTAGAAAAAAAAAACAAAAAACTGAAAATCTCTTAATTAATCAACTTACTGTACGATTTCATATACCATTCACATATTTAGATCAGTAAAATATGAAGACAGCAATAGTTTTGTTGTAATGGTAATCCACATGGAAAAGAAAGCTCCTCCTAAAGCTTCATTGCTTCAACAATGAAGGCTCAAGGTCGACACAGCTATCACAGAAAATGATTTTAAAACAAATATTAATCACATAATCTAGTTATTAAAGAACACAAAGAAGCACCTGGTCACATAGGGAAAGGAAATTTTTTAACGGAACCATTCCAGCTTGCAATACACTTCTACTTTTCTATTCCATTGAGCGCTTCATTTCATCCCGCATTTCTCTATTGTGTTAGCAAAGGAGCCTTTAGAGTAACAAAACCCCTTTCTTTAGTAGGGCATAAATCAAAAGTCGAGCATTTAGAAAGCTAAAGCTCTGCCTCCCATCATTGGTTGCATTTACAGGACAGTTAGTAGGGAAAGGCACACGGTGGGCCTCAAACTTGTAGGACAGAGTCACACTTTTTCCTGTCATCTCACTTGGGGTTACTCTATTTGCATTCTCTCTACCTCCATATGCAAATTCCCATAATGACTCTAGATTACAAATTGAAGGAGAATGTCCACCATAGCTTGAATCTAAGGCAACTGAGCACTTTGAATCTTTTGAGTTAACACCCCTGGACTTAACTGACCTACGTCCACCCTTCTTCAGACTCATAAGAATGCATATCTTTTCTTCCAGATGGATGTCATTCCTGCCGATGTGCAAAACTAGTGTCAGACTTATGCTCAGAATGATATCATAAGGTACTTAGTGGCACTTGATAGGAACTTTCCATTTCACTGTTGGACCAAAACTCATTGTTTCCAGATGAGTCACTACAAAATGTCCCACGAGTTCCACCTCTAGCCTGCTGTTTGCATGACCAGCGTGTACAAAAGTCAGTCAATCAACTCAAATCCATTGATCATGGGTTTGTCAATCACTTTTTTAGGCATGCTGCGATGAGATCAAACACCATTCAAAAATAGCCAACCAAACAAATGAAATGTCACCAAATGAACAAAGGAATGGAGCTAAAGTTAAGGCATCCAAACTACAAACCTAACCCTGGATTAATAACCGTTTTCCATCTCAACCTTGAATTTGTAGATCTTCGTGCTTTACAAAATCAAAACACAAACAAATTATGATTTGTTTTAAGCACCTATGTTGCTCAAGTATCCACTTTTAAATCATTGACTATCAGAAACCACCTAAGACTTCTCACTTACAAGTTAAGAGGAATACCACTAGATCGTAGTACTAAGTGAAGGCGAGAAGATTACAGTTAATTTTGGAAGAAATGAACGGGGTGTAGTAAATTTAAATTTTAGAGGATTTTAATAAATAAAAAATATTTAGTGACAAATTTCAATGGATTTTAATAGATTATGTAGGAAAAACTTGAAAATATTAAGATGTTTATAGGATGGAAGAGGATGGTTGGGTATTTATAGAATTTTTTTAATTTATAATTTATAATTTTTTTTTGTCTAACTGAATTATAAGGGTCGTTGGATTATTTTTTTTTTTTTTGCAATCTAAAAGCTCAAATTGTGCCATGTGGGCACAACTAATAGATTCACCTTTTTCAAAATTTTAACCTAAATATGTTGGCTAATTTAGACTGTTGGATGATATAGCCTTTACAAATCTAATGGCCCATATAGCGCCATGTGTCCTAGCAGTTGAGTTTAAATTTAAAAATTTTTACTATTGAAATCCAATGGTTCAGGTTTCGTTCCGTTAGAATCCAATGGTCCACGCCGCCCCATTATGAATGCACTTGCAAATGTAGCCTCCACCCTACTTTTTTGTCCACCCACGCCCTTCTCAGTTGCGCGTGTAGTCCCTGCACCTAACGCAAAAAAATATATAACTTGGCTGACTCCATGTTGATGTTAGATACAAATCAGGGAAGAGGTCAGGCTAGAATCGCCCGATGGACCTGTTGTGTGGGCTTGGGCCCACTCAGTTGCCTGACTTTGGGTCACAAGCTAAAGCCATTTTCCCTTATTTTGGACATTTTTTGGGCGGATAGTATTATTCACACACCAATTTTTTCCTCACACACCCTTATTTTTTTTTAGTATTTCTTTAATTCATTCGATCCGAGAGCTAAATATTGTGAATGTGTGTGAGAAGTAAAAATAAGTACGTGGGAGAGACTACCCTTTTTGTCCATTTTCCGGGTTGCCCGTTTGCCCATTTACCGGTTTGCCCGTTCAGCCGCCTGCAGTAAGATGTTGTACCTTTGAAATTTCAGGCTTTGGCTTGGGTCTTTCAAGGTACAACCCATAGCACGCAGAGAGAGAGAGGGATAGTAGATTAAACTCGGAAACGCAACCCTCATTTACTCCGTTTGGTCCCCGAAACTCCCCTTCCACATCTTCTCTCAATTCTTCTCGCTCAGATTGCACCATCGTCCTCACTGTTCCTCAGATCAATGCTATAAACGGGTATTTGCTCTGTGTTTTCCAAATTCTCTATCAAGTTTCTTTTTTTCTTTTCAATTTTTGGATTTCACAGCATTTTCTTTTATGATCTTGTAGCAAATTGTGTAAAATTTGTAGTTTAGGGATATTTTAGCAAATTGGTTTAGATGGTTAAAGGGTTTGGGTTTGATTTTTGATGCCTTGTGATGGATCAGCTGGAATTACAGAATTGGGTAGCCCGTGAATCATTTTTGCTAGCTAAAAACACAATTAATTATAAAGCAAAATTTGGCTTTCTTTTAAGATTTAATTTTGTTAGATATTGAACATGGGATTTGGGTTTTAACTGTATTGGCATAGAACCCAATTTCTAAGTCTACATGTTTAACCTTATCAGAAAATCGGGTGGACTAGTTATTTATCGGTGTAGATCTTTTCGTAGGAAGATAATGCATATCGTGTAAGGCTGTCTAGCAATGTGAGTATATTATTGTTGTATGTCTTGGTAGTTTTTGGATTTTTCAAGTCATTCTGGATCTGGGATTTGATGATTTTGACATGGGGCAGTTAATTTCGCATTGCTGGGAAGTTGTGAAGTGAAGATGGTGAAGCTGACAATGATTGCTCGTGTTACTGATGGTCTTCCACTAGCAGAGGGACTGGATGATGGCCGTGATGTAAAAGACTCGGAATTCTACAAACAACAAGTCAAGGCTTTATTCAAGAACTTGTCAAGAGGCCAAAATGAGCCTTCAAGGATGTCAGTTGAAACTGGACCTTTTGTTTTCCAGTATCCTTGTCACTTTTGTCTTTATGATTTATGGTGTTTATAAACTGTGTGCGGTTTGTTGCACATCTGTTGGCTTAATCTAATACTGGCAGATAATATGTTAGTTTCACTGTACCTGCTGTTGTCATTAAATTTAAGTTTCTCATTCAGTAATTGTCTTATCAATGACTTAAAGTGAATGCTATGTATTCATTCTTCTCGTTAGAGGACGAGCATACAACTGTTATTGCCTTGACCTTTGTTCTTAGCTATATCATCGAAGGACGTGTGTGTTACTTAACAATGTGCGACCGTGCCTATCCAAAGAAACTTGCCTTCCAATACCTTGAAGATCTCAAGAACTGAATTTGAGCGTGTTAACGGGACCCAAATTGAAACTGCTGCAAGGCCTTATGCATTCATTAAATTTGGTAGGTCTTGTGCCAGAAATTGTTGTCCCTCATATGTTAAGTAGAATTTTGTACTTATTGTCTACATTTTGGTTCTTCTTTAGCTGTGTTTGATTTCCTTCCACATTTTGTGTTTAAAAGATACATTCATACAGAAAACAAAGAAATTGTACCAGGACACTCACACTCAGAGGAATATTGCAAAGTTGAATGATGAGCTCTATGAAGTCCACCAAATAATGACTCGCAATGTTCAGGAAGTGCTTGGTGTTGGTGAAAAGTTGGATCGTAAGTCTCTTTTTGCTTCTAGATGGAAGTTTTTTTTTTTTGTGTGGATGGGTGATAATTTTCCTCCGGAATTTCATTTTACAGAGGTTAGTCAAATGTCCAGCCGTTTAACATCAGAATCTCGTGTGTATGCTGATAAAGCAAGAGATTTGAATCGACAGGTTAGTCTTATCTTACTAGCTGTGATGGGCAATCATCTAAACTAATACTATGTGGACTTCCCAAACATTACATATCATATGATTTCCCTGCACACCCTGTCCTTGGTACATGTTTGAATAATGTAGCATCTAATCATTTCCATTATCATACCTTTGGATGGGACATCTTCCGTATGTCTCAAATTCAATCAAGTTGTAGTGTCCTGTGTTGAGTATGAATGCAGCTGTGGTGGCGGCATTTACATGATACCTTTCTTTTGTTTACTTGAATGCTCGTTCAAAAGCTGTTATTTATTCATGCTGCTGGGCTTGTAAACTTCTGTTAGCTGTTGCTGATGGTGCTGTATGCTGGTGCTATTACTAAGCCATAATAATTGGGGTTTTCTTTTTTCTGTGTACGAAATAGGTCTGAATAGCCATTTTTGTTTGAATTAGGAATAATACAATTATGTTGCCTTCCCCAATCTGCATGAGTACTCTTGATTGAAGCTGTTTCTGTCAAAGAATTAGATCATATGTGAACTTTTATTTTTCCGAGTAGTATGTAGCTGAAACTTACTACTTTATCATTTCACACGTCTTAATTGTAGGCTCTGATCCGAAAGTATGCACCTATTGCCATTGTGCTTGGAGTGGTTTTCCTCCTTTTCTGGGTCAAAACAAAGCTCTGGTGATCAAACTACCTCATCTATGTTCTGAATTTGTGACGATTTTGACGGGCTTCTGTTTGTTGCGGTGGACTGCTTCCATTCTATTTCAGACTTGGGAACTTCAGATTGGCTGCCTTATCCTCATGAAAGATTTAAATGATGTTTTGGGGTTACTTTTGTTGGTCACGCGGAGTTTGATTGAGAAAATTAATTCTGTAAGAACCTCTGCTTATGGGGACATATCCACCCTTATGAAAGAGAGACCCCTCAAAAGAACAAATTGAGTCGTGGGATCTTATCAGTTGTCATACTACCAATTAAAAGGGAATAGATTTTGCTGTTTTATATATACATTGTTAACATTATTTGTGGCGTTTTAAGAGAAGGGTCGGTCAGTTCCTATCGACAGAAGCGCCTTTGTCCGGCGTATTCTGTCAATCAGTCTTACCGTTTATGATTCTTGCACTACAAGATCGACGAGATCAATACATTCCGTTGTGTAGGTTGCCACTTTTCACTGGTGAGCCATGGGTAAATGAGCTTCCGCAAAACTGGTAAGTGCTTTGGTGATGACTCGAATCGTGTCAAATAATAAATTGCAACAAACCAATCAAACTTGTGCAGAAGACCAATTTATAAGACCAAATCAGCTCAGACGGCTCTATTGCTCCACAAAGGGTTGGGGATTTGAAGCTCGGTTAAAAGCATTCACCCGTGCACACAAGGCCTTGAGCATAATTTCTCGTTCCTCCAGTATCACTTGAATTAACAAAGAAAAGTTAGAAAATGTCGTTCACAATCAACAAACTTTTACTAAAAGTAAATAAATTACAAGGATTTTATTTTTAATAAAAATGGTATAACAATCGGAAACACAGATCTGTCTTCACATTAGTGGATTTTGGCCAATATCTTGCAAAATTATATGGGATGATGGATTTTGACCAAATGAGTTAGAGAGTACAACTTGTTTGGTCCAACAAACACATTCATGTCTTGCTCATCATATTCAGTATATGCATATATTAGAAAAAGAAAATGCATTGAAAATATTTTGTGAAAACGTAAAATTCGTTTGCAAACGACTAGAGATGCATACCACGCTTTCGTCTGGATTTTCGAGATTGATGTTCTGATGGATACATCCCGTCTGCATAACCTACATTGTCAAGATTTGATTATAATGAATCTCCTCTTTAAATCTTTTTTGCAAGCCAAAAAAAAAAAAACTAGTTGTACCTTTTTTTTGTATTCATCAATTGTCGTCCATGATAATTGAACTCATGACCTCGTCCAACAAAGTGGAGACTGTCACGAAATTAAAACTTGAGGCTGACTGACCTTGATTGTTCCAACAGCTTCCACAGCACCTGGAGGGATTTTTCGGTGTACCCGGCACACCAAAAAAATTTGGTGTACCCTCACTCATAATGGTGAGGGTGCACCAAAAAAATTTGGTGCACCCTCACTTTTTGTACACCAAAAAAATTCTAATGAGTGAGGGTACACCAAAAAAATTTGGTGTACCCGGTACACCTAAAAATTTTCCCAGCACCTGAGGCTCCCAAAAGGTGATCAATCATGGATTTTGTGGAGTTCACTGTTAGCTGCAATAATCAGATCATAGTTTTTCAGCACAGAGTCATCTCATAATTTAAGTGACTAGGAAGACGTTTTTATTTACCTCCGGATTCTTCCTAAGACAGCGGATTAGAGCGCAATATTCTTTCAGATCACCCGTCGGTGTTGATGTAGCATATGCGTTTATGTAGTTTACATCTTCTCTGCTGACACCAGATTGAGCCAAGAGCAACTCCTGTCACTGATTTTTGACACATAAAGCGAAGGCTGATGAGCACACGATCAATACATTTTCGACAACATATCAATACAATACTGATGCACGTCCTTTCTCACGTCCTGCATGGATAAACTCAGGTGGTTGAAATATATGCTATCGGGATGAACCGCAGTCATGTAATATGCATAACCAGTGACGCTTCCACCAAGGAACTCGATGTAGATTCACTCCTCTTCTCTGTAACTTTTATGAGAAGGGAAGAAGAGGGTTTGAGCCATAAATAGTACAAACTTTGATGATCAATCGAGAAAGTGCAGAAATTGACCCCAGATCCTTCTCCAATGACAAGTCCGTCGAGATTCTTTTCAAATAGCCATTTACATTTCAAGTTAGGACTTCAAATAGAAGGGGATCATGCATACTAAAGAAGATGTGAGAGATGAAAATCTTAATATGGGGCTAATGGCAGATGCATTACAATATCCCAAGGGCATGAAGCTTTGGTTGGTTCACTATTCCTCGTGACAGCACCTTGCACACCAAAAAAACCTCCCAAGGCTGCAGTTTAATGATACATGAAACTCAATTAAGTTCACACACTGCGGAGATTGTAAAATGTACATTAGGTATGAGAAATGACAAGTGCTATGCCGATGGGGATAATTGCTGCTTCCGATCCGCCACAAAGCATCATGTCCTGAAAATTTTAACAGGTTTTGATGAGAGCATTTGGCTAATTGACCCAAAGTGAAAATTACGTCTTATCTGATTTAGAGTTGGTGAAAACTTACGGTTTCACCTCGCGAAATATGATATGCAGCGTTCAGTATACAAACGTTACTTGTGGCACTATCGCATTATCACATCCACCAGGGCCAAAGCAGATGTAGCCGACATTATGCTCAGGGTCGATGTGTCTATGGAGACAGATGCAAGTTTTCTCATGAAATGAAAGTGAGGGAAGAGAAGTGGGTCAGTACCAAGGTGTTTCCTCATAACAACTCAAACCTCTCTATTGCTCAAGTTAGTTAACGGTCTGTCAAGTAGGAATCTCTTCTACTCGTAAGGATTTCTGCTAGAAGTAATTTTTTTTTTTTTTTTTTATTTCCTCTATTAAACATTGTCGTAAGCGCTTTTAATTATTAACAAAAAAAAAAAAACCAAGGTACTGCCAAAGCTCCAGGCCAACAATTCCGAGCCCTGCATGCATCATGAATAATAATATTCCCAGAAACGGACAAAAACATCAAATAAAAATATAGATCAATTTTTCACTCAGTCCCAAAAGCTGAACTACTCAATCCAAAATTCAACAAAGAACTTGGTCAGCGACAAATTAGGGTTTTGCAAGTTTCAACTCACAGGTAAGTCTGTAGCTTTTTTCCTTTTCTTTTTTTTTTTTGGGAGTGGACGGATCATCATGCTTTCTTTTTCTAATGGATTTGAAGAAACTCCCTTAATTGCTTGTGAAATTTCATGTTGTTCTGCAAATATTTTTCAAATTTCAGGCAGGAAAATATAAAATTCATGAGTTTATGAATTGCAGATTGTATTGCCATCATATTCATATATGTTTTCATCAAACTTTGAGATTCCAAGTGATTATATAGCATCATCTAGGATAGATTTTCAGTGATTACATGGTATGATCTAGGATAGATTGCTCGAAAACTCGAAAGCTAGAAGTGGTTAATGTTTATGTTTTCAGGATAAATGGCATCCGAACCCGTCAATGTGAATGAGTACCAAGAATTGGCTAGGCAAGCCCTTCCGAAAATGTACTATGATTACTACACTGGGGGAGCTGAGGACCAGCACACGCTAAAAGAGAACGTTGAAGCATTTCGCAGAATCACGTAAATGTTTAATTCTACTGCTAAATGCTCGAACATATGGTGTAATTACATTAGTGAGTCCTGTGTCTTTGTTCCAGGTTGCGGCCTAGAATTCTTGTCGATGTTAGCAGAGTAGATATGTCAACTACCATATTGGGTTACAAAATCTCAGCACCTATAATGCTTGCTCCTACTGCCATGCATCAATTGGCCCACCCCGAAGGTCTAAAATCTGAGTTGTCTTCCAAGATTTCTCCGCTGAGATTGGTTTAAGTCTATAAGACACTAATTTTTACCTGCTCTTTATATTCAATGTAGGAGAGGTTGCAACTGCTAGAGCAGCAGCTGCGTGTAACACCATAATGGTATCCGTATAAGTTATGACATGCATTGCAACTGCTAAAGCAGCATGCGTTGTTTGGTATTTGAGTTGTGGTATTTTTCTTTGTAGATTTTGTCCTACATGTCCACCTGCACTGTGGAGGAGGTTGCTTCAAGCTGCAACGCTGTTCGGTTCTTTCAAATATATGTATTTACCCTCTCTTGAGTTCATTTTAATTTTCCAAGTCAAATTTTTCTTGACAGCAATATTCCCTCGTACTTCCAGTTTTCAACTCTTATCCTGCCTAACAGGGCTCAACCTATCAAATGTACCCTTGTTCGAACAGGTTTACAAAAGACGAGATATCTCAGCTCAGATAGTTCGCAGAGCTGAAAAAAATGGATACAAGGCTATTGTCCTAACCGCTGATACTCCCAGACTTGGTCGAAGAGAGGCAGACATAAAGAATAAGTTAATCTCATCCCCTATTTTTCTGTGGTTGCTTCTCCATGTTTTGCAATATGTTCTGTGAAGTATAATAGGAAAGAAACTCTTCTGTGTAACATCATGTCAAATGTTGTTTTCTTAACTGTATAGTACTCTTGATTAAAACATGACTGTGATAACTGCCGCAGAATGGTAGCGCCTCGGTTGAGGAATTTTGAAGGCCTTATATCAACTGAAGTAGACAGTGTGAGTGGAATGGTTTATTTCTGAAAACCTTAGTCCAAATGTGCAATGTTAGTCAGCTGTATAATCTAAGTGAAAGGTTCGTTTTATCCATACACATGACACTTTCTCTGCAGGATGAAGGGTCAAACTTGGAAGCTTTTGCCAAGGGACCTTTGATGCTTCTCTGTGCTGGGAGGTATAACTCAGTAGACTCTCTGATTGCGTTTTCATATGCATGTAGACAAACTGTTAGAGAACTTTTTATTTCCGGTGTGCTCTGTGGTTTCTTTATTCTTGAATGCTTAGTTATCGCATTGATTACGTGTGCAGGACATAGAGTGGCTGAAATCTATTACAAACTTGCCAATTCTAATCAAGGGGGTTCTCACTCATGAAGATGGTAAGATATCAACTGATAAAGGCTTCATATCTTGAGATCTTCTAATCTTACTATATGTAAATATTATACTCATAAACGGAAATCAATTTGGCAACAGGTCTAGAAAATGCTAACTTCTCCAGGAATTTAAAGCAAAATTCTTGAACATTTAGTAAAATCTGTAGCAAAATTCTCAAGTTCTGTTACAGCTAAGTCATAATATTCAGCGTTGAGATACATTGTACCGTCTGATTCTGAATGGTGGCTGTTTTACATTTCAGCAAGAAAGGCTATGGAGGTAGGTGTTGCTGGGATTGTTGTCTCCAACCATGGAGCGCGTCAACTCGATTATACTCCTGCCACTATTTCTGTCCTGGAAGAGGTGCAACTCTCTCTCTACTTCATCACTTTTACTGGTGTAACTTGTGAGACACAAAAACGGCATAACATTTATATCCACAATGTATTCAGGTAGTTCATGCTGTTGGAGGAAAAATTCCTGTTCTTTTTGATGGAGGAATACGGCGAGGAACAGATGTGTTCAAGGCGCTGGCCCTCGGTGCACAAGCTGTCCTTGTAAGAATCATATCGACCACACTGCATATATGAACTCCTAAACTGCTTCTACTATTTGTGTGGCCTTTCTTATTGATACAATGTTGCTGCAGGTTGGAAGGCCTGTTGTCTATGGCCTAGCAGCAAACGGAAAACAGGGAGTTCAGCGGGTGATCAAAATGTTGAAGGATGAGTTTGAGCTCACAATGGCCCTTTCTGGCTGTCCTAGAATTAGGGATATTACCAGGAGCCATGTCAGAACAGAAAGTGATAAACTCCATTCGATGCTCTAATTTATTTAAGTGATGATTCGCCCCGCAACACCCCGTATATTTTCCGGCCTCTGGATTGAATAAATCAGAGAGAACCATGGACATAAACAAACAGAGGTGCGCAAAAGGAGAAATAGATTGTGCGGGAATCATTTTTCTATTGTAAGAACATCAATTAAAACAATATTCTACAGAGACGTGGATGGAACTGTAGATTCTAAAACTACTGTTGTAATCCAACTTTGTTAAAGACGAGACTCGTTGACATAGTTATACTTCTACTCGATTTTCTTCAGCTTTGGTGTCATTTGTTTATGTGATTGATTGGAGCTTAGTCTTTTGGTTTCTGGTCTCATATTGGTTAATCGCTTCGATTTTAGATTTCAAGTATCATATCGTGGGCAACGAAAGCTCCAAGGAGGCACTATATTCCTAAATAATCAATCATGTCAATAAATGAGATCAAGCTAAGTAGAAGAAAAATTGAAAATAATCGAGGTAAATTTTTTCAATTTAAGCCATATGATGTCATGCATAGAGCTTTTTAGTCAATTTACTATCCAAGTTGATTTCACCATTCATTGCATCTCAACAGTCATTATCTTTGGATGTAGCAACAATCTACCTTACATAATGGCATGATATCATTTCACATACAAACGTCATAATCCAAATTGTTTATTCTTCTATAGATGATCTTTAGGGTGATAAAGAAAATCATTGATTCCGAATATAATGTTTATAAAATACGAGAATGTTACGCATCATATAAGGAGGAATGACTCTTTACACAAGAAATTTTATCCTTAAAATATCAAGAGTGGCCCAATTGATTTAATTTTTCTGGTGTTTAAGACAACTAGATTGCTGGAAACCCGAAAGCTGGTTTCTTTCGTCTTGAATGCTTAGTTATTGCATTGATTGATCGAGTATGCAGGACATAGGATGGCTGAAGGGGTTCTTACTCGTGAAGTGGTAAGATCAACTGACTCTTTAAGTCGACGTGCGTCCAGATTAGCCCTTCTGATCAATGGCTGTCGTTTTACCATATTTCAGCAAGAACGGCCGTGGAAGTAGGAGTTGCTGGGGCGGTTGTCTCGAACCGTGGAGGCCGCCAACTCGATTACACTCCTTCCACTACTTCTGTCCTGGAAGAGGTGCAATCTATCTACTGCTACTTCATCATTTCTTTTTATCCAGTTACGAATTCAATTGGAAAGTTGTAGGAAAAGTTCCTCTTCTTTTCGATGGAGGAGTACGCCGAGGGACAGACGTTCAAGGCGTTAGCCCTCGGTGCACAAGCTGTTCTTGTAAGAATCATATCCATCCACCACTTTTAACCCTTAAAACTTGTTCTACTTTGGTTGTGCCTGGACTTGTTCTCAATGTCGGTGCAGGTTGGAAGGCCGGTTATCTACGGCCTTTCAGCAGCGTAACGGAAAGCGGGGAGTGAGGCGGCGGGTGATCGAAATGCTCAAGGATGAGTTTGAGCTGATAATGGCCCTTTCTGGCTGTCTAGTGTCAAGGATATTACCAGGAGCCATGTGAGAACACACAGTGATCATAAACTCCACTACATGCTTCAGTTCTCAACTTTTGGGGGAAATTGCAAATTTTAAACTAGCCATTGTAATTCAAGTTGTTTTCTTACAAGAAGGGTGATTCGAACTTGGTGCAAGAAATTAAAATGATTTTTTGTAAAGGTGATCTTAGATGATAATAAAAAATTTAAATGGTTAAGATTATGATGCTTGTACAGTAAAAAGATGTTAATGGTAAGTGGAAGAACTCGTAGGTTCTCTCATGGAAAGGACACAAGTATACGCACACGACCTGCCTTCTCCACTGAATATTGAAATAAACAAGGAAATAATTTGGCCACAAAAAAAAAAAGAATCAGAAAATTGCAAATACTTTCACAATCAATCTTCACTTATAAACATTAACCATTCCCCAAGAATTTACACGTTACAGCACATAGGATGGATCACATTTCTCAGCCCCTTCTAGCATAAATCATTGCACTCCAGGAGATATATATTCACCTTTTTACCCCGGAAAAAAGGTGATATCATGTACTAAGTCTAAGCTAATACTTCTGCTAAAATTTATGTAAATGCTACTGTGTTAAAATGACTAATAATTCTACATGCCAGACTTAACTGTGGGATTTGAAGGGAAGGCTTCCAACAGGGGAGGCTGAACTATTTCCTCCCCAGAACATCCCCAAAGATCTGATATTTTTGCTACGGGTTACCAACGGAGTTACTCTTGTTCATACCTTGAAGGTCCATGGGAGAATTTGCCATACTACCGACTGAGCCGTGCGTTTGAGAGCTTAGCTGTGGGCTTGCAGGACAAGCCTCTGGATTACCAGCACTCATGGCATGCATTGCCCCTGAGCTTAGCTGTGGACTCATCGGAGTTCTTTGGCTCATTTGCTGTGGGCTAGCCTCCTGCTGCTGCTGTTGCTGCTGGCTTTGGTGGGTCAGTTGTGAAATTCCCGAGGGAGAGCCCACCTGCTGTGGTGAAACAACAGCCTGTAGTGGTGAAGTCGTTTCTTGCTGCTGCTTTTGCAATTGCTGCTGCTGCTGCTGCAATTGTTGTTGCTGCAACTGCTGCTGCATTTGTTGTTGCTGAAATTGTTGCTGCTGCTGTGGGTTCATGTACATATTCGTCCCTGCCATCCCCGCCGTCAGCTTCGGTGGACCCATAGGCCCCATTCCTGGCCTGTGTTGCATTGCACTCATATTACCTTGATTCAGAGTCTGACCCAACATTGCGAAAGCAGCAGATCCAGGATGCATCTGTCTGCCTCCTGGCAGCCCAGCTGTGCCCGACTGAGGACTGCCTGACATGCCGCCTCGGTTCGGTTGCATCCTAAATTTTGATGCCATGAGAGCTTGTGTTAATCTTCCAGTTTGAAATTGCTGGGTTAAATTGCTAATATTTGAACCCTGGGTTAAATTCATTGGATTCTGACCCACATTGCCCATTCCAGAAATAGGCGTCATGGGCGCAGATCCCATTCCCCTTGCAGCTCCCATGCCCACTGTGTTTCCAACACCAGAAAGCCCAACCATGTTATTGCCTAAGCTTCGCATAGCTGTTCCAAGTCCCATCATCATTTTTCTCTGCATCAGCGGACCCTGTTGCTGCTGCTGCTGCTGCTGCTGCTGCTGTTGCTGTAATAGGTGATATTGCAAGTTGGTAAGCTTATTATTCGTCATGGGTAACTGCATGTTGGAAAGCGAATTTGCTGCTAGCATCATTGGTCTCTGGAGCTGGGGATTCTGTTGTTGAATCAACGAGTGTTGGCTTTGCTGCTGCTGTGGTGGTGGTTGGTGTTGCTGTTGCTGCTGCTGCTGTAGTTGTTGGTGCTGCTGGTGTTGTTGCTGCTGCTGCTGCTGGAGGGATGGTTGTGACTCGATCGGTTGTTGGCGTTGAGGCATTGAATTCACTGCCATGAGCCCTTGAGACATCTGTAAGGCCTGAGGGTTTCCAGGGGGCAGCATCCTTGTGCTTGGTAGAAGATTCTGGGATGAAGTTAAGGATGAATTACCGCCACTAATTGACTTTGCAACCTCATTGGACGGCTGGCCTGAAACTGAATCTGCATATTGTTGCATCTCAGCTGCTGAGTTGCTATGGGGGAGCCCAGAAGCATTTGGTTGAATGCTTGGGGAAATAGTCATGCGGGTTGGCTTTGGTTGGATGTGATCCTCCGAATCATAACCATCCTTTACCATCTGAAAAAGAATATAACATAAATCACAAACGAAGTGTGTAATTTAAACTCTTAGTTAACATCAAGACCATTTAAAACATACCAGTGAACAGAACTGTGCTGCAAGCAAATCCGCTGTGTGCTGTGTAGGAATAAGTTTAGATATACACATCAGTACAACAGAAAACACAATGAATGGTAAACAGTGAAGGCTATCCTGACATAGATCCAGTCAAGCTCTTTTACAGAAACAAAGTTACGATTGACTCTTCTAAAAATTGTGTAATACGTTACGATCAACTATATGATAACAAATCATTGTGAATGCAACACCAAGCTCCATAATGCAGAATATTTTAGGACAAATATCATACAAACATTGTGCGATCAATGGCAGAATATGGTAGGAAAGATTAATCAGAGAATACACATGCAGGAAAATTCCACGAGCCAACAGCATGATTCGAAGGGGCAAAAGGAAGTCTGGAACAGGGATGTGAAAATGATAACAAATAAAGAGCAAAAATGCTAAAAATATCAAACCACAAAAGACAAGTATTTCTGTAAATTTATATTTTGAGAAAATAAATCTTCAGTAAGATGGGATGACAAAATAATTTGTTGATAGCCTCAACTAATTCTGGTAATGCTGTGTTCAAACAATCACCTCAGACTGCAAAGTGTAGCTTGTAGAATAACACTTACAGTATTGGGCAATGTAGGAAGATGTTCCTCAGCAGACAGAAAATCACCATCATCTACTTCGCCATAGCAAATTGCTACAGTACCATCCTTTGGTCTCTCTGACATGATCAACCTAGTTCGCTGCTTGGGAAGATAAACAACATTTCCTGCTGAGTCAAAAGTAGATTTTTGAATCATAAGCAAGACAGAAATTCTACTAAATACATAAGTTTGTAACCAAACCGAAACATCTGGCCCAGATTTTGAATAAATATATTAAAACAAAAGGCATAACTGATTGATAGGATATACTGCACCTTGAACAATATGCTCTTCCTTCACAAAATTCAAAATTCTAATTTTGCAGATATTCATGCTTCCACCAACAAGCGACTTCGACAAAGGTCCTCTCACATGAATCATCTTTGAAATCCTCATTATTGGAACCATTTGAGAGGCAGGCTCGCAGATGTTGATCTGGGAATGCATTTGGCTTCTTGACGGGGTGGTCATCAACCTTATTCTTTCTTTTGTTGAGATGATACCTAAAACAACACCCAGTTGAAAATAATTAAACTGTTATTGCTACATAATTAACTAACCGTCTTTCAGCACCAAAGAAGATAAGGTCTAAGAAATTTGTCTGGAATTTTTGCAAGTTAAAAAAACTATGTGAAGGGAAAGTAAACAAAAACTGGGAGAGAAAATCATGTAGCCAGACTGTAGAATCTACCATTATCTCCTTGAGTCGAAATATTTCCTGATAAATGCTTACACAATTAAGGAACACACATTTAAAAATTTTCAATTTTCTATCCGCCTTTCACGTTCTTCTGTAGGTCAGGGAGAGGATAAATAAAGTGCTGGTGATATAGTGCAAAGAAATCACATAAATTCAAAACTAGTACCATTATTAACATATAATCAAAAGGTAAAAAGTAGGGTTATACCTCATGGTCACCGCTTCAATTTTTGAGAATTTTTCAAGCATGGTTTGATCAGCGGAAGATGGAGTTCCAACAGAAGGACTGCCTGCATTTAGTGGAACACTTATATTACTAACGCTGGCAGGAGATCCAACGCCAGTCATTGCTGAGGTCTTAGGGAGCGAATTTGTTTTCCGTTTAGCAGCAGCTTGAGACTGGTGTTGCCGTTGCATAGACTCATTAGCACTGGAAGTCAAACATGAGGCTCCAATAGTAGGAACTGAGGTCATTAATGCCTTCTCTTTCTGTGATGCCCCTACAGCAGAAGTTACTGCAGCTGCTCCAAAGTGGGGTCCTAGGGAACCAGTAGAAAACTCCCCCGACTTTGATGATAATGGGGATTGAACCAAAGCCCCAGAAGATAACCGAGGACTTTGAGATGATTTTCTTTTTGGGAATTGGTCATCCTTTCTTGCATCTTTCTCCATATTCTGACCAAGATTACTCCAGGATGGCTGAGAAAAATTAGATCTCATGAATGCATGCTGTGGTAATCTTTGGTGAAGCCTCGACGGATCGAGATGGCTTGTGTCTCCTTCCATTATCTGCATATCGTTCTTAATCCCACTGAGCTCTAACCCGTCTATCTTACCTGTCTCAAACGGCTCTTCCTTGGCACCAAATCTCATGTTTGGCTGTCCTACAGCAAATGGCATTGTCCCAGGGTCCTGACTCATTGCCCCCTCAAACATCTGCTGGGAAAACTTCTGAATGCCTGTATTTGAAAACTGAATTCCTTTGGCCATTGCTTGCTGCTGCAAATAGTTATTCTTCCAGTTCATATCTGATCCATGGAAGCTATCCATATGTGGCCCTATTTGCTGATGTTGCATTCCATCGAGGCCAACTGGTGTGGGCCTTTGTCTCTTAGTTAAAAGTAGATAAGGGTGACATTTGTCCATCCAGATGCTCTCTCTTTCCATGAAGAGGGACATTACCGCTCACATTGTCAGTATACTGAGATCATCATGTCTTGCCCACCAGGGGAAGGTGATGCATTGACAACACTTCCTGATCCAGGGTCCTGCACGCTTCTTGGGGTCCCAACCCCCATTTGATACCTCGATTGGTTGGGTACTAAATGTGGTGCTGGAACAGAAGCATCAGTCATAAAACTCTTGGACCTTAGGGCCAACAAGTTATTTGTACTCATATTTTGAACGGTCAAATTTTCATGGGCATGCTGTGGCATCATATTGCCTGGAAGGGTTCCAGAATCTCCCAACCTACAGTTAGAGCTTTCTGGAACTCCATCAATGCAAACTTTCTTCCCATGTGCCTTGCTATTAGATGCGACAGTAACTTCTGACATTTGTCTCAACCTCTTTCTCCGGATACCAGTCAATGCCAAATTGAGCTGCAAACACAAAATTTTGATATGATTAAAATGCATCAGTTCATCCAGGTGAAGTACATTGAACAAACTAAAACGTAATTACCTTTGTGGGAACTGGATTCTTACAGAGCCTGTCCAACTTGGGAGTTGGATCTAAATAAAGTTGTGGCTGCAAAGCTTTCAATATTCGGGACTCCATTTCCTGCAATTTGAAGTGAATATTGACATCACAATTTGAACATATAACAGAAAACTATTTGGAAAGGATGGGAGACATCAATTTACTAACCATCAGGTCACCATAAGCCCAAGAATTATCTGAGATCAGCGGGATATCCTTCACTACATTTTCCAATGACATTTTAAGGCGTACTTTATTTACAATAACGGATCCATGGTTAGGGGGACTACCGGACCCTTGTTCAAAAGCACATTTGCGATAATCACGAATCTGCAAGAAATCGCATGTACCAATTTTAAAACACGAAGTACAACCAAATAATGTAAAATTTGTAACTGTTGTCCTATTCACATTTCGAAATACTTTTTTATTGGAATATTTGACTGTACTATCTTAACAAACAAGATAACTCACCTCACACACAAGTGTTCCATCGACATACTTGCAAGGTATATCATCTAGAATATCTCCAGGCAACCGGCCAGATTCAATTGCCTTTAAATATGTTTGCAAATAAAAAAGGAACAAAATCTTAGTACAAAAAAAGCTGCAGAGCAAAAAATCCCAGATATTAATTTTGATGCAGATGACAAGGTGTTGTAGGTGACATAAAGTGACTTCTAAACTATTTAAATCAACAAAATGATGAAGTGCCTTTTGAGAAAAACATGATTTCTTCTTTTTCGTTTCTGATTTTACACACTCATTGCATGTAATGCATGCTCATCAATGGGTCAAGTCCATTATTATAAGTCAGTTTTCTGGAGTTAACTGAATCAGCGAAAACTTTATATTGAAATTTTAAATGGAAGAGTTTTATGCCATACTATATTGCATGCAACCATTGATCTTCCAAACAAAAATTGCAACACTCTAACCATAACCGGAGACTCGAAAGAAATAAGGGGGGAAATTCAAATGACTAGACATTTACCGAAAAAAGAGTTTCTGACGTCCTATCATATGGGTGTAACAACTTTGGAACATCTTGATGTGTAGCTTGATGCGCAGTGTCATTCTGAAAATTTATAAATACAGAAGACCTTAAGAATAAGAAACAAGATTTAAAAGAGCCATGTTTCCTTCTCATCCAAAATTATATTTCTCTTTAACAAACCTCTAATGGTTTTCCAAAAGAATATCCATCTGGGAAGAGATTCAAAGTGAAAGAAACTTCGTTTTCTGTCAAAACAAAGGGAAGAAAAATCAAGATAAAACTAAGGTTAATCCCCAACCCCCTAAAAAATTGTGACGAACCTGCAGATACAAGAAACTCTTCAGAAGACATTGATGGACCAGAAACCCCGGCCCCACTCTCACCCTGTGCATACCATAAGTGAATCTAATTAGTCCAAAAAACAAAAATAGACTGCAAACAGTACATCAAACCCTCTACTCATTCTCCTTATCCAGTGGTTCTCAATCAAACTACAATTTAAGCCTTCCACTTGCATATTCCATTTCAGAATAAGTAAGAAATAATGCTCAATTCTGTTTCAGTTGGAAGAAACAGGAAAATAATAAAGATTCTGTTCTGTATCTTCTTTCCTGCACCTTTTAAGTCCGTTCAAGAGCAGCAAAAGAACAATTCCATAGCCCTTGGGGAATTAAAAATTAACTGGATAAGGATTTAGCTGCAAAATCGAGATATCATAATATGACCCAGATATTCAATTCGAGAAGCTGCATCAGAAACTTTTAATTTCAACAATTACTTAAAGTACCCATTTTAAAAACAAAGTGCTGCATCTAAACATTTTAATTTCAACATCCATTTTCCATCCAAATATAATTAACATTCAGCAGAATTGACCCAAATATTCAAATTCAGGCTCAGTAAAATGCCTGGACACACTTTCTGAGCAAAACCCAAATGCCGAATGATCGAAAATAGCTGTAAACCTTTATATCAATTATTTCCTTGTATATTTTAAGCAACCAAACACAGCCCAAGTAATCATACAAGCAAAGCAACAAATTAACCCTCCGCTTAATTATAATAATTAATTCACTTCAATTATCAGTCTTCAAACTTAATTTGCTTACTATCAGAAATTCAAATACTTTTTCTCACATTGCCACTCATATTCCCACATTTTCTCAGCAACCAAACAGAGAGAAATTCACCAATTTCTAAACTTTACCTCGAGCTTTCTGGGACAGCTCGGGAGCTGCTGTTATTGGGAGTACTCGGACACGTCATCGCCGCCACCGTCGGCCTCGGACTGCAGAGGCGGCTTCGGACGGAACCTAGTACCGGTCTTGGAAACCTTAAACGAAACACCCATCAATGGCCGGGATTCTATAGCCTTGAATTTCTCAGAATTTCAACCCGGGGTCGTTATTGGGATGCAGGAGAGCTCGGATCATGGGAAATTAATTGGAGAACGATAAATTTTACAAACAAAAAACTTGGGCAGAGAAACAAAAACCCTAATTGTAATCTGTGTGTCTGTAATTTAGTTAGTGTTGAATTTGACAGAAAATAAGACAGACACGAGGGGAGTTGTGGAAGTCGTTGTACAAAGTTAGTGTTTTTACTGCTGTTATTGTTGTTAGTTATAACAAAAAGTCCGCAGTACTGTTCATTTAACGAAAAATTATATTTTTACATTAAAAAGTCAATCATGATACTATTCAGTTTACCCTTTATTTTGTTCTTATGATTAAAACTCAAAATTTTCAAGTTTTTTTTCATTAGTTTTTCTTTGTTTTTATTAGGATTTGGAAGGAAGATGAAAAATCTCTCATTGGCTGAGCTGCCAAGCCAAGCCGCAAGTGCCAAGCAGATTTAAAATATCAATATCGATGGAAATAACAATACGTAAATTTGTATAAATACTAATAGATATACCGATATCAGTTGTTTTCGATGAAATTTATTAAAAAATGTAGAAATTTAAAATGAAACTATGTGGATCCAATTTTGCACACATGCAGCCTGTATACTCTAAGTTGTTGGATGAGAGAAATATTAAGGAATATTAAGGATCATGATTGGTTTTTAGACCAATCAATCGCATAATCAATTAAGGTTTAGAGTATAGTCAAAGACGACGAGAGTTGGGGACGATAGAGTTTCAGCCAAGAATAATTTCAAGTATATTTAGAGAATATGCTAAAGAATTAAAATATTATCAGAATTGTATCATTCGGTAAACTAGGCCATCACACAATTCATCTCTATAAATATAAGACACTATGCTATTAAGGGTAGCATTGTAAATCCTAGTTAACATTTTCTGTTTGTTTTCCTAGCTGTAATTAGTTAGATGAGCTGTCATTTCCTCAAAGGATATTCTCTTATATATATATCAGAATCACAACGTAATCTTATTCATTAAGAAATAGAGAAAGATATTTTCTCTTTCATGGTACATCTATATCCTTCTCACTTTGTTGTGAATGATCTTTCTTCAGAGAAAGTGCTTTTTAAAGGCCCTGTATAAGATGGCTTTTATCCATTTGATACCACAACTTCCATTGCTGGACAACAACATGCATTTGCAGCAACTTCAAAAGCATCTTAGGATATATGACATCAAAGACTTGGCTTCAAAATACTTAATAAAGTTGCATCTCATTCTTATATTTCAGTTTCTGGTGATATTCATAAGTATCTGTGTTCTAGTTATGCTATAGGCAAATGTTCGAAATTGCCATTTTCTGTAGCTTCTTGTTCTACAACTAAGCCATTAGAGCTTCTACATACAGATATATGGGGACCTTCACCAACTATTTTTGTACAAGGTTTCAAATATTATATAATCTTTGTCGATGATTTTACCAAGTATTGTTGGTTCTTTCCACTTAAATACAAATCTGAGGCTTTCTCTACTTTCATTCACTTCAAAGTCTATGGTTGAGAACCTATTGTGCACTATGATTGTTACATTGAGATTTGATTCTGGTGGAGAGTTCATTAGCACTCAATTTTCCACAGTCTTAAGGGATTATGGCATTATTCATCAACTCAATTGCCTCCATACTCCAAAGCAAAATGGGTGTGCTAAAAGAAAGCACAGACACTTGGTTGAAACTGCGAGAACTTTACTTGCAGCTTCTAAAGTTCCATATGAGTTTTGGGTTGATGCTTTTGCCACAGCATTATATCTTATTAACAGGCTTCCTACTGCAACCAAATGCTCTCCTTGGGAATCTCTTTTTCACAAGACTCCAAATTACAACTATCTCAGGGTCTTTGGCTGCAAGTGTTTCCCATGGCTCAAGCCATATACAAACTCCAAGCTTGATCCCAAGAGTCAACCATGTGTTTTTCTGGGATACAGTTTACAACACAAAGGTTACAAGTGTATGTCCCTTGTAACTAGGAAAGTCTACATTCCCAGGCATGTGCTCTTTGATGAAACTCAATTTCCCTTTCATCATATTGTTACTTCTCCAGTTCTGCACCAGTTCTCTAGTTCCAATTTTAATCTTATTCCTACATCATTAACCTTCCCTACACCACCATCCCTCTCAACCACTTCTTCATCTACATCACCTATCTCTCATCCTCCCACAACTTCACCTATATCTTCATCACCTCCAATTCCTTCCTCCCTTAACAATCAACAAACCCAATTGCCAATCAAAACTCACCTTATGCAAACCAAGTCTAAATCTGGCATTGTCAAACCTAAAGCTGTTGATGCCACCAAACATCTTCTTCCTTCTCACCTTGCTCCAAACTATATCCCAACCATCTACCTTCAAGTTCTAAACACCCTCACTAGAGACAAGCAATGCAAGAAGAATTCAATGCATTACTTAGCACTGGTACCTGGTCACTTGTTCCACCACATTCCTTTCAAAATTTGATGGGATGTAAATGGGTTTTTCGGATCAAGAGAAAACCAGATGACACAATCGACAGGTTTAAAGCCCGGCTTGTTGCTAAAGGGTTTCACCAGCAACAAGGTTTAGACTACACTTAGACGTTTAGTCCAGTAGCTAAACCAGTTACTATTCGATTGCTTTTTACATTAGCTGCTCACTTCAACTGGTTTCTCAATCAATTGGATTTGAGCAATGCTTTTCTGCATGGAACATTATCTGAATCTATCTTTATGGTTTAGTCTCCAAGATTTGAAGATCCAACCAAGCCTAACTATGTTTGACAACTACACAATTCTCTATATGGACTCAAACAAGCCCTTAGGGCTTGGTATGAAATGCTTCACACTGCTCTCTTTTCTATGGGATTCACTGGTTCTCAAAATGACCATTCACTATTTGTCAAAAAGGATCCAGCTTTAGTATTCATCTTAGTGTAGGTTGATGATATACTAGTCATAGGTCCAAATCCTCAAGTTTGCAAGGATTCTATTTCTCAACTCAGCAACCTCTTTCCTATCAAAGACTTGGGACGTCTTCACTATTTTCTTGGCATTGAAGTCAAAAGGTCATCATCATGGATCTTTATATCTCAAACCAAGTACATTCTTGATTTGCTTAAGAAATCAAATATGCTTGGTGCAAAACCATGTGCCACTCCTTTTAGCACTTCTTCATTGGATCATCAATCTTCACTATTACAATACCTCACTTTGTCCAGGCCTGACCCTTCATTTGTAGTCAATCTGGTATGTCAGTTTATGCATCAACCAAGGGAATCTCATCTTCAAGTTGTTAAAATGATTTTGAGATACCTTAAAGGAACTCTGGATCTTCGTCTCTGGTTTCCTAAAAATTCAAATTCCCTCAGCATTAATGCCTTTTTAGATGCTGATTGGGCAAGCTATCATATAGATAAACGATCAACTGGTGGATTTTGCATATTTTTGGCTAACTTTCTTATTAGTTGGAGTGCTAAGAAGCAACCAACAGTGGCCAGATCTTCTACTGAAGCTGAATACAAGTCCTTGGCAAACACTGCAACTAAAATTACATGGATTTGCAAATTATTGGTTGATGTTGGTTTACAACTATCCTCCCACGCTTTGGTGTGACAACATCTTAGCTATTTCATTAGCTAAGAATCCCATTTTTCATGCAAGAACAAAGCAAGTCGAGATAGACTATCACTACATTCGGGAAAAAGTCTTGTCCAAAGCCATTTCAGTTCATTTTATCTGCACTCAAGACCAGATTGCTGACATTTGCACCAAGTCTCTTTCTAAGGCTAGATTTCAACTACTTAGGGACAAACTTTCCCTTCAAGTCCCTCAGTTTAGTTTGAGGGGGGGGATATTAAGGGTAGCATTGTAAATCCTAGTTAACATTTTCTGTTTGTTTTCCTAGTTGTAATTAGTTAGATGAGTTGTCATTTACTCAAAGGGTATTCTCTTATGTGTGTGTGTGTGTGTGTGTGTGTATCAGAATCACAATGGAATCTTATTCATTAAGAAATACATAAAGATATTTTCTCTTTCATATGCAACGTAGAAAGCCCATTCAATTCAACAAACAACTTAAACGCTCTACTTGAAAACCCTTGTTTTACACGAAACCCTTCTTACACTACTGGGACAAACACTAACTATCCTAACCCTGAACACCATTACTTTTGGTTGTTTGGTTACCTATCTAAGACTCGGCGGGCGAAGAGTTTATCATTCTTTCACCTAAAGAGGTCATCTCATTAACTTCTGGGTGAAGTGAGGTGTTATCAAGTTACTGGTGTTCGGCACAGTGAAAGCCAAAGCCAGTTATTGAACTTCGCGGTGATCTAGTAAAGTTGTTTTCAAGTTCTAGAACCCAAGGTCAAGTTGTATTCCTTTCTCGGCCGTAATCGCCCAGGTGCATAAATCAGCAGCTCGCTAGGTGATAAATCAGCAGCTCATTTGTCACCACCACCATGTAGTACCAGTTTGGCATGGTTGGAGGGAAAAAAAAACAGCTATGAAAAATGGTTAGGAGTGTAAAATGTGTTTCTAAATGTAAAAATAAATGTTTCTTTTCAAAGTTCCAGCCAAAATAAGCCGAAAAATGGAAGCAGCATTTGTTGCTTCTCAAAACCTACTTTTTTTTTCAAAGTAGGCGGATGAACAGTAAAGAACTTTCTTAGACCCAATTATACCCTCTACGTTTCTCCTTCTAGTTTCCCTCATCGAATCAGATTGTTTGAGAGGATGAGGTCCCTCAGCGAGTCGAGTCCGGCTTTGACGAGGAATTCAAGGCCGTCGGCGATTCTATTATTGGGGAGGATGATCTTCTGGAGATTTCGCCTTTACGGGAATTGTTCCAGGGATGAAATACTTGCAATCCAGAGGTGCTAAAGGTTCTGGAACTTCTCCAGAAGGCTCGATGAGGTGGTTCAAGTACACTAAGTCCGATACAGGTGACTTTCAAGTTGTCGTCATTCTTCGGCTTTAGATCCCAGTAGTAGGCGCCACGACTGTGGTAAAAATCGATGGCGGAGATTGCTGGAAATAGACTCTGGCGAAGTCTTCTGTGCGGCCGGGCTAAGTTGGAATTTTGGGGTTGCCAGTGGTGCAGAAGAATCGGGAGATGTAGAAGAATCAGAAGATAAATGAGGGAGATGGAAGATAAAATTAT